AATTTACTGGGATTGATTTGTTAAATATTAGTGGGGATTAAGATATAAGATAGTTAAAACCACAATTCCGATTCAAGCTGTCTAATCTGAACCTGGTAAATTCGTCCACGCACGAACCATCCCTCACTGTTGTTCCGATTCAAGCTGTCTAATCTGAAACTGGCAAATTCGTCCACTCACGCACCATACCTGACCAACAGTGAAGTAGGGTTGGTACTTGATAATTGATAAAGCCAGGTACGGGACACTTGATAGTGGAACTTGAACTTTCACCTCGGACGAGTTAACTAGATTAAATCTGGAATCGTGTTCCGAGCTGCAATTGTTTAAAAATAAATCTTACCATGTAACATTATGAGGCTTCCACTGCCTTAGAAGTTATTCGGGTCTTAACGAATTTAGCAGTGACATACCACATACCACATACCAGTGACATACCACATACCAGATGTGGACTGTTTAACTGTTAACTCTAACTCTACATTACACATTGTCTTTATATAGAGCGCAATGTAGCGGTGTTACACTGTGCAAAATGTTTTAGTGAAACTAGAAATATTCCGGTAATAGCTCAATATAGTAGTCGGATAGATTAAGTTAACACTGTTAATAAAACTCTTGCGTAAGTTTCACAAAGGTTCTTAGATAACTATACGAAAAGAAATAGACTAGGAGATTCCATAATATAATATAGAAGATGCAATAATGCTCAAGGTAATCTAAGATTATTGAACCTGTATGGCTATAACAGAGTGTTTCGTGAGAGTATGGGCACCCAATAGAGAACTTGGTTGCAGATAGCTGGATCCTGATCTTGGTCCCGGCTCTACTATTCAAAACGAAGTATTTTAACTGTATTATAATCATATTCACGATGTCCACTGTCCTATACTCTGGTTCAACTGGTGGGTTTAAACCAGCGCGAAATTAGGAGAAAACTCTTTGAATATTTAGGTTACTATAACAAAATTTAACATAGAAGTATTTACCGTGTACAAACAACTTTTAAAATCCAATCAAGGATCTCTATGTTTGAACTGCTTGTAATATAAATCGAATATAAATCGAATAGCTGTTCAATCTGACGTGTTTATTGTTTAATGGTTAAAATGCAACGTGTTAGAATTGATAAACATTTATTTGGAGGTGGTTGATCGAGGGGTATCCACAGAGAGAAACTCAGAACCTTACCCGTTTAGCGCATGAGACACAACCTTGCTATGAACTGCGTCAACATTGACTCAACATGTCTCCTACAAAACGGTTTTTCGATTAAACCAGGCTCTTTCACGTGCTCTGATTGGTAGAAAACTGCTTCTAATCTCGAAGTGGGGAAGTTGACAAGTGGGGAAGTGGTTTAGGAGGAGCGGTTTGAGAGAATTGCAGGTGAGCTGATTTAGTAGTTTTCAAGTTTAGATAGTGAAGTAATGGAGGTTTATGTTCAGTGAGAGTTATGAAGTTCTGCGGTAGTTAAACTTCAAGGAGAGATTTAGTTTTGGTAATATGAACAGTTTATGGCTTGAGGTTAGAAGCTAACTCGGTGAAATTTATAAATACACGCACGTAGCACGGTAGTCACGTAATCTGCAGACCAACTCCTTGACTTCACCAGTCGATTACGGAGTTAGAGTGTTCTGTACTTTCTGGAAGGGTGTCCGGGAAGTTTCCGAGAAATATCCTGAAGCTTGCCAGAGTCTTAAATTCGAAGCATTGACAATTTTCGGAGTCTTCCAGCTCTTAAACTACGGATGAGTAGTCGTAGGCAGTTTTTTTTGTGAGAGAAGGGACTTTTACTTTAACTCCCAGTCTGGCCTTCTCTCTAATCAGTATATCTATATTATTTAGACATATACCCTGGAGAACTTACCACAGTGGGTATGCTGGTGTAGTGTCAACTGTCTAAGTGCCAGATATCATTTTAATCACATTAGATATATTCCAAGACGGGGAATTATTAGGAGGAGATAAGAGAAACTAGATCTGGGCTATTTTAAACTCCAACAACTAAAATTCATTATATCATCAGGCCTCGTGTAATTCAGCTACCCAGCATTAATGTTCGTGAAGTCTGGTTCATATTTCAGGTAGCTACCGGGGCGCATTTCTTGGCCATTACAAAGTTTATTTCATAATAAAAAGACGGCTTGTTGAGCGGTAGGTCATTCATCCGATGAAAGTACTCAAAGTTAAGTTAAAATACTCACGTGAAAAATGTGATTTTCATGCCAAAATTAGAGACGGTGTAATATTGTATTACAAAGGGTACGATTTTAGAATGCCTCACGAGGAATTTCTTACAATTTTGTTTGGGAAGGGAATTCTTAGTTCTTGCAACGCCCTTAAATTCCAAATCCCATTGCGTTTTAAAATCTTTATCTCTCGCCTGACAGCCGAGCAACTTCTTTTGTGTTATGGTTAATTTTAAAACAGATTTGTAAACCTGTTTTATCTCATCGTCCCATACATGCAGGATGCAAAATACGAGCTTGGTCGAGCAGAGAAGTAAAAATTGCTTAAATTGTCGTAACAGATAATAATTTCACGGTCTGGCAACATGTTGTAGATTGCTTGCATTGTTAACATCTTGATGGGGACTATTTTTAGATGTATATCTCATCTAGAATACAAGCCAAAGCATGATCATGCTGGGGTTCATTAAGGGCATTGTTGGCGCTTACTTGGTGGCCTGATAGCAGACCTAGCAGTGAGCATGTGTGTTGTGTGACGGCGTGGTATTGTGGCAATTGTATCTGCGCGCGGGTATACTATTCTGGAACGCGCGTATTTAACTTTTAAGTGTTAACGAGGCGAACGATACCGTTTAAACATGCGCTATGGGATTCATTTAACAGCTAATATTATATTGACATTACCTTGAATGAAACGAATTAACATTATACGGCCGGCCATTAGAGCAGTATGTAAATTTGCGTTTCAGCACTGTGTAACAAAATCTGCTGATAAGCAGACCCAGTGCACTACACTTTAAGTGCAACACTAAGATTATTCAAACAATATACACATAATATAACAATTACCCTATATAAAAATTCAATATAAATTCAATAGAAAACTAAATAAACACCCTTTAAGTAGTATAAGTAAGCCAGTTTAAAGAACTGGCTCCAAATTTATATCTAATTCTGCTATTTTTACTGCACTACTACTTTTTAACCCTCTCTCTCCTCTAAGAGCTATGACTGTTGTTCTCAGACTTTAAGTTGTTCATTGTTAATAAAGGACTGACCAATAGTCCATAATCCGGCGCGCGCTACTCACAGTGAAGCCTTGCACTATGGAATTCTCAGTGAAGCCTTGCACCATCATGCCCGGGGTTAATATTTCGAGAAAAAAGCGCGCTCTACCTCTATTCGAAGAAATTTAGACGAGTAGGTATACATTGGTAAAAATACCACTGTATTATTACGCACAAATTTCACGTGACTTTGGTTTTTATGGTTTTGCAGCCGTACAAAACAGTTTTACATAAACCCTAATCCCATGACCCTAAGTCTAACCATAACCCCGAAGCTATCCATAACCCTTACCGACCAGTACCACAACCCTAACCCTAAATAAAACAATCGAATTAATGTTTTAATTTTACTAGCCTGTCACGTGACAAAAACGGTTTTTGCCCATGACTCTCCAGGGAAGCATTTTACCCTACGTCATATTGTGGGGTGATTCGGAATCAGCGTCCAAAAATACACCGATTGAAATCAATTTCATACCTAAAAGGCCTATTCACAAGAATTTTCTTAAAATTTGGGCGAGCGGTTTAGTAGGACTAGGAGCAAAAGGCTTGCTATAGAACACGTTGTATATAATACCTCTCTCGTGCACGCGAAGCGTGCCCCAGGAACCCTGACCGGATGGGGCTTAACTTTGAAAGTAAAAGAGTTGGAGACTTCCGGTTTTTTGTAACATGTTCCTCTTTTAAAAGTAACGTTACCTCTCCAGGAGGAAAATTCAAGACAGCGTAATTGTTGAGTTATCTCAAAATCTCCAGAAAAGTCCCCTTTCGGGCCGATCAAAAGTTTGCAACTTTAACTTTGCGGATTCCTGTACTCTGGTTGGCTGAGTTGTGTCACGTGGTAGCTGCCTGAACATTGGAATACGCCACGCGTGCAAATCATGCTTGTACTGTTGTCGCGCGCGAGGTCAAGCCGTCTGTTTAAATTAAACCAACTCTAGTACCACCACCAGCCGGTAACTTTTCCTGGGTACGAAGTAACCAATTAGGGCTATTAAATGCCGAACACAAGGATATTTCGTATTCGGATCATATGCCTGCAGGCTGTCTGTCGCTTACCCAGGAACCCTGACCGGATGGGGCTTAGTTCCTGGGTCGCTCTTAACTGAGCGATAAGTGACGTTAAGTGAGACCGTGAGCACCACTTCTTGCCAATTTGCTTTTGAATTACGGCCCAATCATGAAGTTAAACAGTACAAGTTGTGTTTTAACGGCAAAATACTACAGCGAATTCTAGCCCTTGAAAGTTGTAGGTTTGGAAGATCAATACGGCTGCTTTAATTCATAAAAGTCTTAAGTTAGAACGGCCAAAACACCCTACTCGACGTCAGCCAGCTGCATGCAGCTGCGTGCGCACTCCGGCCGGCCGAGATCAAAAAAGGTTGCAGCGTGTGTCAAGAAAAGAACCTTTGCGTTTGGGTTAGGTATGAAATTGATCTAAATCGGTGTATTTTTGGACGCTGATTAGGACTAGGAGCTTATGAAGTGTCCGCGCCGTTTCTTAACAGTAAATTGTTTCATTTTGCATGAAAACACTAAGTCGACAAAAATTCAACTACGACGAGGATTGCAAATTGCAAAACAAATATTTAGAAAATGTGGATAGATCGGTTGGTGAATAGTAATACATTTAACTCACTTGTAAATCATTAAATATTAATGAGTCTCATTTCGGATTTCCATGTTAATAACAATATTATTTCCAGCACTATAAACAAAATACATCCCCTCTACTTACCAACAACTGATCAGGAATCAGTACTAGTAGCAGGTATAAAAAACGAGGTTCCAACCCAGATTTTGAAAATTTTATTTTACAATATTGGGCAAGTTCCCCGACATATTAAACTTCAAGCTAAAAAGAACAGGATATTAAAATGAAACATCGAATACAATTGTATAAACGTTCTAAGCAATAAATATAAACTTTACTCTCAGTTACTCATCTCATTTTCTTACAATAATCTTATAAAACTGCCGGAATTATCAATTTAAAAACTTCAAGGCCTTCTTGTATCTAAAATTAAATTAGTATTACTTAGTCAAAATATAAATTTATGATAAAACACTCTTTTCAAGTCCGTCGAATATTAGAAAGTAGAGTTTCTCAAGACGGTCGCGGTTCCGATATAGGACTTCTATCGAGAAACGTGCTCCAATTAAATAAGATTGCCGTGTCTTCATTTTGTGATCAGCTACCCCTGTTTGGTGATACATAATCACGATTCCGATAAGAACACCGGAGAAATAACTATGGAAATACATGCCGTACATGTAGTATACAGAGGAGCCGGTAGGGGCGGTGATTTAAACGTATCCGTGCCTTGCGTAGAACGCCTTCTGGAGACAGTCCCGGTACATGCTGGCAATGCTCGTCAAGTTGGTGATCCTACTCCACCTGTGGATAGAAAAAAGGGTGAGATCTAAGTGTCGTCTGGAAACGGAACTAAAATTCAGACATTAAGAATTGTTTGATAATAAAAAATCCCTTAAACCAGTTGGCAATGGAGATTAAAAAGCTCGCTTGTTTCCAATTTACCTGTTTGCAATTTACTTGTTTCCAATTTACCTGTACTTAGAATCCTCGGCGAACTTTACATTATGGAAAGCGTTATTGTTAGTGTCGTGATAGCTGACGATTATAGCTTCAAACCAACTGCTATCTGTGTTGTACTCGCTGTCCAAGAACCCTCTGTAAATAAGAATTCCTGCTTTGAATATTTTCTCGATTCGTTTGACGAGTTTATCGCGGCTAAGTTCATCTGATGGTGCGAGGTGCTCTTCGGAGGTCAGAAGTTGTCGAACCTGACGAATTAGGGCAATGATTAATATTGATGGTTAAAATAGTGAGAGACTTAAATGTCGACTGGTTGCTATAATCTTATAACTACCAAAGCGTTGATCCAAAATCTACCAATCGCAAAAAGTATGAAATATACCTCAGCTGGGAGAGGATCATCGTATATTCCCTTTATCTCAGGAAGAGATGTAATCTCTCCTCTTAACTCCAACAGGACCTCAAAGACGGGTTTTCCAGCAGCGATCACATCCGCTCCGTTCTCATCCTTAGCTATGCGTGTTATGATGGGCAAAGCAGCGTGGTTGGGCCCGTACTTGTCCAGTAAACCTCTACCATTTAGACCTGTGTGTTTAATACTTTCAACACTACTTGTATAACAAATGAGCCTGAAGATGGCGTTGACAACCGGATACTACCCAACTATCAGTTAGATCTGGTAGTAAGAGGGTGTTGGATGACAAATTAGCACGGAGATTTACAGACCGACATGATCAGGATTTTTAACTTATACATCTGATAGACATTATCACTAAAGAGCAGTATTCTCAATAAATTTAAATTTGACAGAACGTTTCTGGTAATTAATACAGGCACATGAAAATTTAGAGAACCAACCAGTTCGTCCGCAAGGAATGAGAGGCAGCTGGTTCCTGATCTCGTAACGTCCCTCATAACTCCTTCTCTCATCCCCCGCCACGTTTCTGTGCCACTTTATCTCCCCCACTTTTCGTTCTGGTGCTGCTCTGACGTCTGTGTAGTGGAGTGGTTCATAGTGGATCCAGATCTTATTCCAATCCAGATACTCCTTCTTTACGTAGCCTCTTCTCACAGGCTGGACATGTCAGATTGAGAAACTGTTCCCCGATTTGAAGAGTTCCAAGAGATTGAAAAGTGAAATACCAACAAAGTTACCGATTCGATTCCTTTGATAAATCTTAACATCTAGGTAACCAAAAAGTAAATACCTTATAAATATCACATCTTACCGTTTCGCCAGGGTATTCCGGCTTTCTGGATAGTTTGCCCATCTTTAACAACCTCGGGGTATCAACCGGCTTAATGTTACTCAGGGATTCCTCTTCTTGCCGCCAGGAAGTCCGGCCATATCTGGAGCGACAACGCCCGCTTCAACTGTTATATCTTCTGGGATCATATCTTCCACAGCCAGCTTCGGTCCGTCGTGATCTACCTGGGAATTAAGGGGGTGAGTTTTTAAAATTGGTGTTTTTAATGCCATTAATGGGTTGTCGAGACAAAATTATAAAATCTCAAATGTTTTAAGGGAAAGGATCATTCATGTGAAAATTAAAACTAACCTCATCTTCATCGCTACTGCTGCTGCTACGGTTCTTGTGTCGATGTATTGTCGCCACATCAATCACCTGCTGTATCTTGCTCTCGAAGTCTCCCAAACGTTTCTCAATGGTTTCAACTTCACCTGACAAGTTTGACATCTCCGCTTGCAAGACTTCTTGGTCCGTCAAGACTTTAAGTTTTTCAAGGTAGTTTCTTCTACACTCGATCTCGAGGAGGGTGATAGTGAGTCTCTGGTGGACGTCTACAGTGGGGATATCAGAGGGGTCATCTGCACAGCAACCACTCAACCGTCCACATGTGTTCTTGATTACCAACTTTATGAACCTGCGGAGTGGCTATACGTCAGAACCAAGATAAAGGTAAAACTTGAAAGGTCGTAAGACAGATTTGTACATTTTCTTACGAAGGAGCAAACAATTTCCACTTTTTTTCATTACATGACTTTCGAGTTCAAAGTAAAATCTAAGCCGTTTGGAGTTTGGACCTAGATTACCAGTTTAATGTGATCCAATTTCATATGGAAATGTTTCAAATATACAAAATTCCCAACAATTAGGCTAACATAATCTAAAGTCCAATAAACTAACCTGCAGCAATGCAGTATGGTACTGAAAGGAACGGGTAGAGGTGATCTACTCCGGTACTCAACCATCAGATCAAACTTCTGGCGCTTCCAGAGCGTCTTAGAATTCTCTTGAATCTCCTCGTATGTGCTTGAAAACACTGACGGAACACACATGTTATATATTATTGATCATACATGTGAGATCTTACATTCCCATGACACGGAAGCTTCATGATAATTTCTAAAAAAGATTAAGAAACACAAAGGATAAACATACCAGCCACCAGCAAGTTCAACATGAGGACAGCAGCCAACATCATGTAGAGACCGAGCATTATCTTTACTATGTAAATGTTGAAAACACACATGGTATTCTCTTCGTCGTCACAAGAGTAGTCGGAGCATTGACCATTATCCTCGGTTCCTGCTTTGAAGTACTGGCAGTATTCATAGTTCATGACTTCGTCAATTGTCTCCTCGCCTATCTCACCGAACAAGTTAGTGTAGGGCCTCCAGAAGATGTCAAACATCTAAACGAGAGAGAGAGAGAGTGTGAGAAAGATAGAGGGAGCTGGAGGGAGGGAGGGAGGGAGGGAGGGAGGGAGGGAGGGAGGGAGGGAGGGAGGGAGGGAAGGAGGGAGGGAGGGAGGGAGGGAGGGAGGGAGGGAGGGAGGGAGGGAGGGAGGGAGGGAGGGGGGAGGGAGGGGGGAGGGAGGGGGGGAGGGAGGGAGGGAGGGAGGGAGGGGGGGAGGGAGGGAGGGAGGGAGGGAGGGAGGGAGGGAGGGAGGGAGGGAGAGATGGAGATCACAAATTTGGGGGGGGGGGGGGGGGGGTCCAACCCGATCATTTCCGATCATTCCGATCCCGATTTTGGCCTCATCAACCCTCATATCGGAAAAATCGGGAAAATTTAAATCTTCCCTCTGAGGTTTCTAGGCGATATAGGTAGCTATTTCTGTACTTAAATATGACAAGAAATCGATTGGTGGTGGTCCCAGAACCCCAAAATGGTATCTTGTTCCAAACAAGAATCGTTTCGTCCGAAAAACAACACAATGTCGTATCAACTCTTGTTTGACAGAAACATCCACCCCGGTCCACAATTGAAAGAGGTACGGTTGGTAATAACAATCGTAACAAATAGCGAACGCTTTAGTAACTTTTGATTTAAATTGTCTCCACAATTTGTAACAGGCTATCTGCAGAAATGGGTAGCACGGTTAATGACTATGGTCCTTTCTCAAACTTCCAATCCTCAGTTAGATACAAAGAATAGTCTACACAATTTTCAATAACATTAAAAGGGATGAAAATCACTTTATTTATCAAATTCTTTATTTATCATGTAACAACTTTTCCATAGTACTGGAGAGTAAAACTCTGTTAAACAAAAAAATTCTCGGGCACATTTTGAGTCAGTAACAGTAACATGTCAATATGTTACAGACTCAAATGCGTTTAAAAACATTTTAGTAACAATAAATTGTGTAAACTGATGAGGAGGAGGAGGAGGACTGAGGAGAAGGAGGACTGAGGAGGACAGAGGAGGAAGACTGAGGAGGACCAGGACGAGCACTAGGAGGATGAGGACGAGGACTAGGATGATGAGGACGAGGACTAAGGACGATGAGGACGAGGACTAAGGACGAGGAGGAGGACGACTGAGGAGGAGGACTGATTAGGAGGAGGACTGATTAGGAGGAGAAGGAAGAGAAGAAGGAGGAGGAGGATGAGGAAGAGAAATGAGGAGGAGGAGGAAAAGGAGGAAGACTGAGGAGAAAGAGGAGGACCGAGGAGGACTGAGGAGGAGGAGGACTGAAGAGGAGAGGGAGGACTGAGGAAGAGGAGCAGGATTGGTGTGGAGGAAGACGAGAAGGAGGAGAAGGAGGAGGACGAGAGCGAGGACGAGGAGGAAGACTGAGGAGGAGGACTGTTAAAAAGGAGAAGGACGAGGACTGAGGAGGAGGACTGAGGATGAGGAGAAGGAGGACTGGGGGAGGACTAAGGACGAGGAGGACTGAGGAGGAGGACTGAGGATGAGGAGGAGGACTGAGGATGAGGAGGAGGAGAAGGAGGACTAGGGAGGACTGAGGAAGAGGAGGACTTAGGGAGGACTGAGGAGGAGGAGGACTGAGGAGGATGATGAGGAGGAGGACTGAGGATGAGGAGGAGGAGAAGGAGGACGGGGGAGGACTGATGAGGAGGAGGACTGGGGGAGGACTGAGGAGCAGGAGGATGACTTAGGAGTAGGATGAGAAGGAGGAAAAGGATGAGAGGGAGGAGGAGGACTGAGGAGGAGGAGGAGGATTTAGGAGTAGGAGGAGAAGAAGGAGAAGGAGGACTGGCGAGGAGGAGGACTGACGAGGAGGAGAAGGACTGCGGAGGAGGAGGAGGACTGAGGAGAAGGAGGAGGAGGAGGACTGACGAGAAGGAGGAGGAGGAGGACTGACGAGTAGGAGGAAGAGGAGGACTGAGGAGGAACAAGATGAGGACTGAAGAGGATGAGGAGGATGAGAAGGAGGACTGGGGGAGGACTGAGGAAGAGGAGGACTTGGGGAGGAGGATGAGGACGATGAGACTGATGAGGACGAGGAGGACTGAGGAGGAAGACTGAGGAGGATGAGGACGAGGACTAAGGACGAGGACTAGGAGGATGAGGACAAGGGCTAATGAAGAGGAGGAGGACGACTGAGGAGGAGGACTGATTAGGAGGAGAAGGAAGAGGAGAAGGAGGAGGAGGATGAGGAGGAGGACTGAGGAGGAGGAGGAGGATGAGGAGGATGAGGACTGAGGAGGACTGAGGAGGAATACTGAAGAGGACGAGGACTAAGGACGAGGAGGAGGCGGAGGACGACTGAGGAGGAGGAATGATTAGGAGGAGAAGAAAGGGGAGAAGGAGGAGGAGGATTAGGAGGAGGAGGAGAAGAAGGAGGAGGAGGACTAAGGACGAGGATGAGGACGAGGACGATTATGAGGAGGACAGAGGATGAGGACTGATGAGGAGGAGAAGGAGGAGGAGGAGGAGGAGAAGGAGGAGGAGGACTGGGGGAGGACTCAGGAGGAAGAGGATGATGACTGAGGAGGAGGATGAGGACTCAGGAGGAGGACTCAGGAGGTGGACTCAGAAGGTGGAGGAGGATGAGAAGGACTCAGGAGGAGGAGGACGACTATGAGGAGGACTAAGGAGAACTGATGGGGAGGAGAAGGAGGATCAGGAGGAGAAATGAGGATGAGGAGGAGGAGAAGGAGAAGGAGAAGGAGGAGGACTGGGAGTAGGACTGAGGAGGAGAAGGGGATTGAGGAGGAGGGTGAGGAGGACTGAGGAGAAGGACGAGGACGAGGAGTCAGGAAGAGGACTGAAGAGGACTGAGGAGGAGAAGGACTCAGGAGGAGGAAGACTTAGGAGGAGGAGGAGGAGGACATCTAAATGTTTTGTCTGTTTTTGTCCGTTTTTGTCCGCCCTACTTTTTGTCCGTTTTGAAAATACAGGGTACCGAACGGACACAAAACATGATCCCCCAGCCAAGCATGTGTTACGATACAAATGTACTTGACTATACATTTAAGGTGCAGTGTACTAGTGATATTATGGTATGTTTAAAGACCGGACCACAAAATATAACCCTAGTGTTTTACTAATACATAATAACAAGTAACAGGGATAAAATTAATGAGCAGAAACAATCGATCTCACGTCAAGAGGCCAAAGCACTCGGGTCTGGGAGTACATGACAACTCCAACTAGTAGTGAGCATACTAGCCCCTGCAGTGGAAAAACACATAAAACATACTATTGGAATGTCCAATTAGTTCGTTTTCTCATAACAATATAGCATATGTAGGGGTTTTTTATCACTTCCTCACTTCTGAGAGGTTTTAGAGATCGATTCTCTAAAATTTTTCAATTTTCCGATTTTTCCGATTTTTCCGATTCCGATTTGGGCCTCATCAACCCTCATATCGGACATCGGGTTGGACCCCCCCCCCCCCCCCCCCCCCCAAATTTTAAATTAATAGTCACAAAAACGTTATCATGATAAATCAAGTGTCAATTCTATCATTTTACCAATTTTCTTTCCAGTTTAGGGAATTTCTGTGGGGTCATGATAGAAGCGGTGCTGACACCGTATCCAATGACGAAGATGACAACAAGGAATATGAAGAACTGGAGATCGATCAACATCCTCTGCATCATCATCACCTGGAGAGAAGGAGATTGGTAAAATAATTCACTATCCAATACCTTTTTTTGAAAAAAATATAATGGTCATAGGAATCGTAGGCAGTAGGTGGTGGTTAACGTGATTCAATTAAATGATGACGGCTGAGGGGAACAGCGTGGAGTGAGGCGAAACAAGATTTAAGAAATAGTTTTTACCTTAGGACCCAGCTGCTCGCTGATTTGCAGAGCCTGACACAGTTTCAAACAGTACATTATAAAGGCTAACGAAAACAGCAGTCTGAAATGGTTTCCATCCCAAGTTATCGTATCGCTATCTCCTTTCATTCTAAAGTACAGTGCCAGCAAAATAAGGATGATGCAAACAATGTCGTTCTTGTTGTAAATATTTCCCCAATACATCTTCAGCTTCCCCCATAGTGTGGTGGGGTAGGAAAAGTAGATCTGCCTCATTTCCAGGGGCACCAAACACAGAACCCATATGTAAACAAACTGCTGAGCCATGGTGAGCTTGCAATTGAAAATCGAGCGAAAACCACCACAATTTTCGGCACTAGTCGATTGCCGATCTGCTAAAAGCAGCGCGAAAACATAGGACATCAAGAAGAATCCATTAACAATGGAATAAATGGTAAACTTGGTGATGGGTGCCTTGTAGAAATACCGACACTTTGTCAGGATACCCAGTTTCTCACAAGCCTCAGAATCGTCCTGGCCGATTCCCCGATCAATGAACGCCTCTCGACTATCCCTCACTTTCTGCTTCTTGCTCTGGAGGTTTTTCTGCTTCCACTTGTCAAACGGAGTAACATCTCGGAAAGAAGCTAAAAGAGGACATAATATGGACACAATCATCCTGAGCGTGGACATGTCACTATCCAGCCATCCGTTCCATTCAATATCAATGTAATCCTGAATGGTCGGGTGAGCGATGATATTGACGGCGTTCACGTAGTCAGCCATCTCCAGAATAGTTCTGCCACCCCAACTCACAAACTTGAAGTTAATCAAAGCGATGACGTGCTCGGTCTGATATTCCGCAACCTCTTCCAGAACCTTCTCAGATATCTCCTCGAACTCGTTTCCGTACTCCTCAAGCTGCTGGCCCATAGCATCGGATATGAGGAGGGTCTCTTTTTGCTGAGCACTCAACCAGTTGTTGATACAGGTGCAGACGAGGCCTAAAAAGAGGGGCGTGGAGGAGTACTCCCAGATGACCTTGGCAAGTTCCTGCTCGTGGATCAGGACCATGTAAACAGTCAGCAGACTGCCCGGATCCATAAAATCAAACTTAGACTTCCGACCGTCTCCAGTCATGTTGTCTACGTGCGCATAGTTCGCAGCTCCCCCATTCCTTTTACTATTACCGCAGATTTTGATGCTTTGTAGACTGAATCCGTTATCAGAAGGGTCTACCTGGTGCTCCGGTGCACGGGTCCTACCGGGAACCCTGAATACTCCTTCACTTATGTCATGAATCACCTGAGAGGTGGATATTGGTAGAAGCGGTGTAAAACAACAGAATTAAACTTTTAGTTAAACTTGGAGGAGAGGCTGGACGAAATTGTGTGACGAATTAGAAAAATTAGAAAAAGTTGCATGAATGTAAGAAAGACAACTTTGTTATCTTACCATTTCGAAGTGTTCAAACGTCCAGTGCTCCACGCTGGGGCACTTTTTCTTCATCAGCTCGTAGAACAAGGAATTAGTGGGCGTGTTTTCCCGGAGAATAGTTTCAAATCTGTCCACTGTCAGGAAGGAGCTGATGTTGGCATTACGTTCTATTATGTTGCGGATAAAGCGGATCTGCTTGTGCTTGATGGCGAGGTTTAACATCTCGTTCAGCTCGCTTTCCTGAGGAGAGGTGGGTTTTAATGAGTGGGGGCCGGGGGGGGGGGGGGGGGGGGCATCGAGGGTGGCAGTTCGGGTGCGGACGGCCCAACAAAGTAGAGGACAGGGAAGTTTAGTTGAGAACATATTAAAGTTTTTTTTTCGGTACCTTATATACGAAAGGTACAACTCAGCACTGTAAATAATAATCTGAGTGTAAATTAACCGTAAGATGTAGATCCATATTGTTTGACTTGTTCTCAAAAATAAACTCTGTAGCAATATCTAAACGATCCCACTGTATAGCTAGTTCAAGTTGTCTTTTCATAAGTTCTTTAGCTCGTGTCCGCTGAGTTTGTTCCCGCTGAGCTTGTCCTTCTGCGATTGTGTTAAATATTATAGTTGTGTTAATTATTTCAAAGTAAGTGCACAGTTTTTCAACCTTTATTAAGTGTTTGGAAGACTTCCAAAACACTTCCAATGGAAGTGTCGCACAGTTTACTTTTTGAATTTTTATAACCCAGGTCGATTCGGTTTAAATTATGTTTATAAATAAATTGTAAATCTGTGAAACATTCCCAAGAATTTCACCAACATCATGATTATGTTATGGCAATGAATAAAATACGAATTAAAATAATAAAAACGTATTGAAAATTACAAATCTTACCCGCGCTATTATCAGGCTCTTCTTCAGGTTCACCAGAATTTTTGTGGTTTGCGATACTTTTAATAAGACCTTGTAGGATTGTGGTGTCAAGTGCGGTTCCTTTTCCGCACTTCCATATGGTTACCTGAACAGGAAGAAGGGTAAGATGGGTCGAACTTCTCGTGCATTATTGTAAAGTAATAATGTCAATGATAATTGCGATACCGCACGGATGACCGACACCCTTAATTAAATAAAGTATTAAGTAGATAATTTATGTTAATAGTATGTTAACATGGTTAGTACATAAAGAAGATTTCAGTATTGGACGGTTGTTATGACCAAGGTAGACTATGATAATTATATTGTTTGTTATTTATTTTATCTTTTTATGGTCCTAACTAAAATAAATAATCGTCTAGTAATAACTCTGGTAACGCTGGTAATTTGGCACGACACAGTACAATATAAATACAAATGAGCGATAGTAAAAGTAGCAGTAACAAATAAATTACTAGAATTCTCCAGGATATGAGACCAGACGGCCGTTTATAGCTGAAGTAGTACTATTTACTAATTCCCCAATTACCACCCAATAATTACAACGGAGTAGTGATGAAAGTAGCCTGGTGTAATCAGTACACATTCTCAATTCAACTATTTTATTCATCATTACCACCAATATTATTATATTGAGCATGGTCAAGGCAGGCCCGGAAACTTATTTTAATTTTGATAGCTAGAAAACCGGGAAAATAATTTGGCCGATACTGAAACAATAGCGGAATGGCTGGTTTCAACCCAACCTACCATTTTTAGATCGTTTAAATGATTTACTGATATTAATAATATCATTATGGCGGCTCCTCAGAAAATGTACTTGTATAGATGTTGTAAAATGTACTTGTATAGATAGAAGAGACTATCTTATTCTTTTACGATGTCTCTTCTTCAGAGCCCACACATAAAGGCAACACCTGACATAAAGGGAATGCCAGCAACCATTTTATATTGTTTAACTGCAAGTGTGTAATACTATTTACTGACGACAGCCTGTAAATCAATAGTTTGATCTCAGTATATGCAAGGAATTATCTAGTGTGATTGTTTAAATTCCTCTGTTACTCTAGTATAACACTACAAGTGTTGAAAATACGCCAATCCTGGTGAATCCAGTGGGTATCCTTACTGAACGGGCAGTTTGAAAGGAAATTGGACCTGGGAGGCTCCGTGCAGACCAATCTGCAGTTGAATCGTATTTGAACCCAAATTAAAATTGTGATAAGCGTTCAGTTCAAACTAGGATGCGGTATATAGCCTTGGATAAGTTCAAACCGTTTAACATAACAGATGGTGACTGTTCCCAAGGTGGATTAAAACATATATACTGATACACTATACAGTGATATAACAGTAGTATTACCAGATCCCAGTTCAATTTGTAACGGAGTTTTATATTAACAGGAAATGATGTGACAGCGTCTACATAAATAAATCTACTCCAATATTGCCATACACATTGAAGTTCGCCAGTAATCACCCCTGTCGAACTTATGTGCGTGTCGAACTACAGCGCGTGTCGAACACAGCACTTGTACCAATTTTCACTCATATCGAGAATATCACGAAGTCTGTAATGATAATTACCAAAAACCACTGATTTCCGCTTTTGGTCTGCTGTCTGTATTTTGGTATAATTATACCACAGCAACGAGCTAACATAAGCCAGAAGGTTTACGTAATTAAATGCAAACAGTTCAAACCGATTTAACCGCGACACAACTGATTAAGTGCCAAGATCAAGTATCTGCAATATCTTAAAAGGGTCGTAACTCGGTTAAATTGTAAACAACCAACTTGAAATTTTGGGAAAGCACTTCAATTATCAAACCAAACATGTCTAGAAACTTTGAAGTTCCTAGCTGAAAGCATTGTCACTTTATGGTGACAATAGTGAAAAAGAGGGATTGGCGTGCCACACACACTGTAATTAATTAAATTTGAAGAAATTTTCCGGAAATCTAAGTTTGACCCATATCTATAATCTCAAAAATTTCTGTGCAATTCTAAGAAGAATTACGTGAGTTATTAAAGGGTTGCAGTTACTTTTGGGCCACCCTGTATAACATTTTACAATCCTGTGACCTTCCCAATAATAACAGTCCTCTATTATTCTTGGCAGTACTAAATCTTACAAAATCCTACAAAAAGCAACAACTAACCAAATCCTCGTGTAGGATGACCTCCTCAATGATTCCCATCTTGGCAGTCCTAAATCCTACTAAATCCTACAAAATCCTACAAAAAGCAACAACTCACCAAATCCTCGTGTAGGATGACCTCCTCAATGATTCCCATGAACTCATCGTACTTGCTCTCTTCTAGTCTGGGCAGTGCTGCTGTCAGAGCTGATCTAACCTTCATCCTGTCGTCTTCGCTTTGGATCCTTCTCTCTGTTCTCATCCCCAGTCTGGATTGAAACCGGGGGTTATATTTACATCTTACAGTGATTTATAGAGAGAGCACGTGCACAGGATCTCAAAGTTACGTCGCTGTGTTTTAATAATTCCGAAGTTAAGAAAAACACTTCCCGACTGGTTGTCATTAAGTCAATAAATTCAAACTTAAATAGTTATTAGTCAAAAAAATGAACCTACCCATCACAGACGTTCTCATCCTTAGCCAAGTCGACAGCCAGAGAAAGGACGTTAGAAATCCTACCAGAGTCTCCTAGAACCACGACGGGGAGCCCCGTTTTGACCCTGATCAGAGCCTCCTCCAGTGAACCACTTCCTCCTTCGATCAGGACGGAAACGAGTTGAGCTTGAGTCCGTTGAACAAGGTACTGTTGCAATTTAATCCTAAACTTACGAACCTGATGGGATAAGGGTTGTTAGCAGAGAGGAATGTCTTCTGTTGAATACCATTGAACTGTTTTGGAGAGGAATTACCAGGAAGTCAGAGGAAATTGTTAAATGTTAAAGAAAAAATGCTGATGGTAGCTCGAGAATACGCCGTTAATCATAATCTGGATTATACTAGCAGCCCGTAAGTTTTTACACAGAAATAGGGCAATAAAATAGGCTTCACACGGCATAGGGCTCTCACACACATTCTTGAATTGAGGCAATAAATGAAAACTTCATGGTAAAAGAAATGGAAGTTCTATGATTGAACACTTAACTCTTTCTTGTTAAAATTTGTTTTTTGGAAATTTTCAAGATAACGATAAATCGAAACTTCAATTATTTTGTAATATTAGGATAATTATTCTACTGTACTGAGCAGTGAGCAGACAGTCCTCGCTGCTTGTGGGATTTTAATTAAAATAAAGAGTCGATTAGGCTCCTCTGACTTCTGGATTTCATTTTCTGTCGTGTGAAAGTTCAGTAGGCTGGCAAACCTACCTACTAAGTCTACCGACTCAAGAATTCCTATTTTCGTACCATGGTTTTTAAGCCAAGTTTTAGATGAACAATTAATTTATAGCATTTGAATCTCCCCAATTAATAAATAAAAGCCAAGTGGAACTTTTTTATTTTATAGACCCAAAACCACAGCTAAAGAAGTTAGCAAGCATCATTTAAATGCTCATAAGATCCCAATAATTTTATGAAAAAAGACAAGTTGATCTCGTCAACATGGCATAATTTTATGGATACATTACTATATTATCATCGTACAAGTTTTAGAAACTCCAACAGACCTGCTTGAGAGAAAGAAATATCGAGATGTGATATCAAATATGTGACATAAGTTACTAATTTGAGTAAATATGTGACATAAGTTACTAATTTGAGTAAATATGTGACATAATTTACTAATTTGAGGCAAGGTGAGTGAGTGTAGTATTAAAGTATTAACAATCAATGCACCTTTTTAAGTTCGAACTATTCGGCTCTGCAAAGATTGCCAAATTGGGCTGAATTTAAAAAGTTCATAAACTTTGTTCCAAAAGAACAAAATCTATAAGAACTGCTGATTTAGGTAATATAATCACAGATATGAGATAGCACGCCAATACAAGCTGTAGAACAAATATCGCTATTGGCAATAGCGATATTTGTTCTTGCAATTTGCACTTGCAATTTACAGACTTTTCAATCAAGTTTTCGTGTAACAGTTGATAAAATGCTTTAGTAGGAGAGCTTTGCGCTCTAGAAACAGAATGCCGTGTACATCATGATCAAGCTTCGCTAGGAAAATTAATTTGACAACGTAAACGAGATGGTGCATAAAAAACGATTTTTTACACTGGTACACAAACGTAAAAACGAGGATTCACGAAAAAAGGAACAAAACTGATACACTAAGAGACTTACATCAGTTTCGTGAAAATTGTTCTTAGTCCCGAAATCTACGAGTAAGAAGTGAGTGTGTTCGTGTTCCAGGGACATGGACTTTGGTTTGTTGGTCTCCGGGTTCCGCTCCAGCTCATTCTGACGGAGTGCGATGTACTTTGCTGGGAACAGACCCTGGGGATTATAGGTTTAACAGACCCTGGGGATTATAGGTTTAACAGACCCTGAGGAAAGAGAGGTGGGGATTATTGTTAGGTTTAATTAAATCGGACTCTCAACTGTGGGGTTTAGCGATGAAAATACTTGCTGCAATCGAAACGAATATAGATTTGATACTTAAATACATTCGACATTCGGGGAAGCCAATTTCCCGAAAGACAGTCTACTTTCCCTTTTCAGCCGAATCATTGGATAATCAGATAATTGTTTAATGTATACCTGTTCTTTCGCGTCAATAAGGTCATTACTGTTTGCAACAGCACCCCACGAGTTGACTCCGATTACAGGAATAGCGTTTACAAAGGATCTCTTCATTGCTACAGCGTCCCCCACCAAGTTACTTACTCCCTGGAGAAATAGAAATTGAGATTAAAATAGAGAATATCTCACTCACATTTTATCTAATTAGAGGATTGAGAAAATATAAATTTGATATTTCCAGCACCAACTTTAGAAACAACAAGAACATTCAACCTCTGCCTGCTACCAACACACGATACGACTAACATGATAAACTATACAAGTTAGAGGAAAGGGGGATTCTTAGCATTATTTTGCCGCAACTGTTGGGAGAAATATGATGACAGTACTGGGAAATATATTTGAACCCTCTTCTCTCTGGGAAACACGAGAAACTCACATGGTTGACTCCGCTGGTGAATAACCACCCTTTGGTGTCCCTGGCAGCTTTAACTAGACCTTCCTTGATGTCTGACTCAGCCGCTAAATAATCTGTGTTACTGTTAGAACTACTAATGTATACTAATGTATACTAATGTATACTAATGTATACTAATGTATACTAATGTATACTAATGTATACTAATGTATACTAATGTATACTAATGTATACTAATGTATACTAATGTATACTGATGTATATTAATGTATACTAATGTATACTAATGTATACTAATGTATACTAATGTATACTAATGTATACTAATGTATAATAAAGTATACTAATGTATACTAATGTATACTAATGTATACTAATGTATATTAATGTATACTAATGTATACTAATGTATACTAATGTATACTAATGTATACTAATGTATACTAATGTATACTAATGTATACTTATGTATACTAATGTTTACTAATGTATACTAATATAATACAATAGTGCTACAATAATGTTCTATGTTACTGTTAGAACTACTAATGTATACTAAAAAATAGTGGCAGAACAAATGAGTCAGAATTAACACTCACGAACAATATACAAATAACGAAAACATCACTTTTTAAACAAAAAATACTTGTACTTGAAGAAATTCTAAAACGTTTTCACTGCTTAAACTGAAAAAAAATGCAGCAATGTTAGCTTACTCATTTTCTTAGAGTCAAACTTGGAGTGTCCACCGAAGACAGATATGAGAAGGTTAGGAAGAGGCATAGCCCACTTATCTAACAAGAGGTTACCCAGTTCAACAACATCTACTTCCATGTCACACCGCAGGTACTGGGAGAATGGACATTATAAAGGAGCACTACTACTACTACTACTATGTCGGAGCTAAGTCCGATCTACGCCAGATTATATAAAGGAGCACTGTTTAAGTACTGAACATGTAAAGACTATACATTTATCACATGCCTTCTCATGCGATATCAAAACTTTCGCCCACGAGGCTTGCCGAGTTAGCGAAAGTTTCGATATTTCCCGAGGCTTGCCGAGGGTTATATCGACATTTTCAATCACGAGGCTTGCCGAGTTTTGAAAATGTTGATATCGCATGAGAAGGCATGTGATTAATGTTTTATCACACTTTCTTTGGAGCCAAATTTTGCCGGGAAAGCAGAATTTGATCAAACGTTAGTTATAAATCTCACCAAAGCAAAACTAGACATGTTGAACTTATTTATGTTTATAATGTCCAAGCTATGATATAGCTCTCGATGAGTTAGTATTTCAGATATCGAAGATACAATACGTACAATTAAGATCTCACGTGCTCATCACATTTATGACACAGTGAATGCTGTATGCTGCGCCCAATTTGCTTTGTACTCATATGTGATACGTAGTGCATTGAATATTATTATATTTATCGATCAAGGGACTTGTACTTATTGGCGTCTAGAATATTCCGCCACGATCTGCACCGCGTCTTATTAATCACAAATTATATCCTGCATATTAATTGGTGTGAGGTAATTTTATACTTGATCATTACTACCGAAAATATACAATGTATAGAACATCCGTTCAAGTGTTGATGAAATACATCAGAGTCCTTATCATAAATGTGTATCTGCGATAAGGTGAAAGTATTTCCTAGTTCTTGTATTTAAATAGAGTTGTGGAGCTATAATTAGTGTCTATAATCTATCAGTCCACATTATACACCACACGCCCTAATTCACATCAAAAATGTTATCGTCTGTCTTGATTCTCGATTGTCTGTTATTTCAAAATGATTTAATCAATGCAACTTGTAATCGTTGACTTAGAATTTTATCGAGTATCGTCTGCTTTATGGTTCTTAGTCAGTATTCATCTTCCTTGCCATAATTTGCCATTATTTGGAGCCAAAATAGCAAACTAGACATGTCGAACTTAATTATGTTTATAATGTCCAAGCTATATATAATAGCTCTCGATGAGTTAGTATTTCAGATATCGAAGATACAATACGTACAATTAAGATCTCACGTGCTCATCACATTTATGACACAGTGAATGCTGTATGCCGCGCCCAATTTGCTTTGTACTCATAAGTGATACGTAGTGCATTGAATATTATGATATTTATCGATCAAGGGACTTGTACTTATTGGCGTCTAGAATATTCCGCCACGATCTGCACCGCGTCTTATTAATCACAAATTATATCCTGCATATTAATTGGTGTGAGGTAATTTTATACTTGATCATTACTACCGAAAATATACAATGTATAGAACATCCGTTCGAGTGTTGATTAAATACATCAGAGTCCTTATCATAAATGTGTATCTGCGATAAGGTGAAAGTATTTCCTAGTTCTTGTATTTAAATAGAGTTGTGGAGCTATAATTAGTGTCTATAATCTATCAGTCCAAATTATACACCACACGCCCTAATTCACATCAAAAATGTTATCGTCCGTCTTGATTCTTGGTTGTCTGTTATTTCAAAATGATTTAATCAATGCAACTTGTAATCGTTGACTTAGAATTTTATCGAGTATCGTCTGCTTTATGGTTCTTAGTCAGTATTCATCTTCCTTGCCATAATTTGCCATTATTTGGAGCCAAAATAGCAAACTAGACATGTCGAACTTATTTATGTTTATAATGTCCAAGCTATATATAGCTCTCGATGAGTTAGTATTTCAGATATCGAAGATACAATACGTACAATTAAGATCTCACGTGCTCATCACATTTATGACACAGTGAATGCTGTATGCCGCGCCCAATTTGCTTTGTACTCATAAGTGATACGTAGTGCATTGAATATTATGATATTTATCGATCAAGGGACTTGTACTTATTGGCGTCTAGAATATTCCGCCACGATCTGCACCGCGTCTTATTAATCATTAATGCACTTTAATTCTAGCTTTTCCCGCAGTGATAAGCAAGTGTGTGCTTAGCACAGTACTTTTAGTGGTATTTCGTCTATTATAATTTATATATCGTTCTACAAGAAAAACTCTGAATATGAGCGAAAAGAACTTGGAAATCAACTGTACAGGATAACATTAAAGCAACAGGGAAGCAACTCCATACATTTCAATCTAACTAAATTATTCGATTCGTAAAACACATTATTAATTAAGACTTAGTTACAACCTGTAAATTGCAGAGTCAACTAACATATAAAATAATTTGTTCATTTGTATTCTGTAGACAAAATTCTCCATTACAATAAAAACTTAAGAAAACTGCATGGTCCACAAAACGTTATCAATTTTATACTCATTAATCTAAAATTGTATTTACAAAAATTTTATAAAATATCAATTATTCAATTCATAAAACACATTATTAATTAAGACTTAGTTTAAACCTGTAAATTGTAGAGTCAACTAACATATAAAATAGTTTGTTCATTTGTATTCTGTAGACAAAATTCTCCATTACAATAAAACCTTAAGAAAACTGCATGGTCCACAAAACGTTATCAAATTTTTACTCATTAATCTAAAATTGTATATACAAAAAATTACATCAAATATCTATTATTCAATTCATAAAACACATTATCAATATCAGTTAAAACTTAGTTACAACTTTTCATCTAGAACAATGGCTACATTTCATCTATTGGTATTATTATTAGTACTGTAATAATTGTTAATTGTAACTGGTCCATAATAATTTATTATAACGGGCCCGTTATATGTTGTTGGGTCATTGTTTGGTATCTGTGGTGGTGTGAGGACAGGTGTTGCAGGACATTGTAGGCTATTGTGTGGCAGTGGAGATGCGAAACTGAAGGACGTATAATTAGGAGTGGCTGCTAGTGTTGGGGAGCTGATAGCGGGAGGATGCTGATTAGGAGGAGAAGGACTATTAAATGCTGCCGGTGGAGATATCGGAGGAATAGCATAGGTAGGAGAGTCTTGAGGGGAGGACGGTGCAGTCGTGACAGCTGGTGAGGGGGGAGGGGCCGGAAGTACAGGTTGGACAGTTACTTTGTCAGGTGCTGCTTGTTGGAGACTTGCCAAGAGTATAGGATCTCCTATCCTGACTGTTTGACAAAATTTTTTAGAAGCTCGGAACATCGGGTCATGAAGGGTAGTTCCTAACACTAAAGATGGTGGTTGGTCGCGTTCCCTTTTTTGGAGAGGATGTTTGTTTTTAGGTGGTAAGGGTGATTTAACAATCTTAGATCTCTTTGAGGATGTTGGTTGAATAACAGAGAGTGGTCTTTTATTGTTTGACTGTTGAACTTGTGTACTATTATAGTGAACGGTAGGTTTAGGTGAACTTATTAAGACTGGTGGAGCTTCTGGAAGATCATATGATGCGTCGCTCAAAAGTAGTAGGTTTGTTGCTTGTGTTGCCTTTGCTGGGTTGATGGAATCGTAATGAACAAGTGATGAAGCAGATTTGTGCCTAGTGTAGGCCATTATTACCTTGCTTGACAGGCCTCCCTCTGATAGAGTGCTCGCCGCGTTTTTTCGGATGGACGTGTTTGTTATCTTTCTTCCATCCACCGACAAACCGCTGGCAGTCACCATATTTATCACGATTTTGGCCAGGGTATTCTGTCCCATTCTTGTGGAAATGTACCATGGTTCACCATTGTCATTGAAGTCGCGCCGATAATCTTTATGAGCTTTGGTATTGCAGCTCAGGAATAACGGTGAGTCCGGTGTTTTCATAGCTTCAGGACGTTTTAAGCTATACAGCGTCAGCAGCGTCACCGGACACTTGAACTTTTCTTTTATTCCGGAGAGGGAGCCGGTATTGTGATTTTGGTCTTGCGGGTTTTCTCCTTGCCTATTTTTGGCCTGAACATCCCGCAGGTTCACAAAGATGTGACCATTATGTGATGTAAAGGTCCCCATACTTCATCTTGTGTAGCTCCTTCATTCCTCTCCGCCCCATCCACATGACAAAAATCACAAGGGCGTTTATGAGAGCCCGTGGGTGGTGACCGCCTGCACACTTTGATGAAAAGAGAAAGTTAATCTCTTCAGCAGTGAGCCCATTAGATGTCTTCGGCCCTTGTCCTCCCCCCTCAGATCGGAGTTTCTTGAATGCACATTTTAACTGGTCTGTAACCTGGCTGAAGATCGGTTTACTGAAATCCATGCCGGTTGGTTTCAAATGCCGTTTTAAACTATACCAGAAAGTTTGTAACGATACTGGCTCGTAGGAAGCACCTTTTACAGTACGAGCCCCGATTGCGAAGTTTTTCATTGTAGTAACAAGTTCTTCCTCGGATAGCTCAATTACTGGTTTCTCCCAAAACAAAGGATCTTCTCCACTATTGCGAAGATCTGCAGCTTTTGCTGCCATAAATAAGGTAATTGTTCTTATGTCACCTTCAGTCTTTTTTCTCGTTGATGCTGATAACAGATTTTCAGAAAAGTTTTCTGTCTCTTCTAATGAAGGAATATAAAATCTTGGCTCTGACATAATAGTGCTATTTTTATCCTGCAGTTATTAAAGTTAAGTTATCATAATGCAGACAATTTTAATTGAATATACGGATATAGAATAATCAGAAAATATACGGACACACGCCTACACTCTACAGTCTTACACGCACTCCCGGAACATGATTACCTTATCAACTTCTCTTAACTGATGTTATCGCAAAGTCTTATCAGCGTCACACACTCTCAGTCTCGTTAGTATATAGTTGTTTATCGATTACAATATATGTTCGTTTCTCATTTGCAGTGTCGCACTTCGAAGTTGCGATATTTATAAGTCTCCGGCTTATTTGTTATTCAAGTCCCATATGTTATCGCAAAGTCTTATCAGCGTCACACACTCTCAGTCTCGTTAGTATATAGTTGTTTATCGATTACAATATATGTTCGTTTCTCATTTGCAGTGTCGCACTTCGAAGTTGCGATATTTATAAGTCTCCGGCTTATTTGTTATTCAAGTCCCATATAAAAACCCTGTTTTATCGTGTCCCTATATTTATTGAATAAATCTATTCGAGAGAAAATGTTTAATCAATATTTACTTTAAGAGCAGTTCTGTAATTTGAATTAACGTTGCCTCTATGCACCGTATGCAATATGCATTATATATGAATTTAAAATTTGCTAATTTTATGCCTCTATCTGACAAAATAATCTGTTACATTTCCGTTCATCATGGATACGGTATTAAGGATTTTCGCTTCGTTGTGGTGTTGTTCCACAGTATAAGTCCTAGTAAACAGTTGCCTGACTAACTCCATCACTGTTACATATTAGAATTTGAACGGATAGATTAAAGTTTGGTGACAATCCACTCTGTTTAAACATTTCAACTGTGATGAGCTAAGTCAGAATTTCTAATTATATTAAAGTTACGAAAAACAATATGGCCTGATTCTAATTGCACGGAAAGCTCGCTATTTTAATCACAGTATGGTCGCTTTAACATCACACTGCTGATAAGTTAAATTATAAAACTGAAATTGGCGTCCTTCTCGAATTTGATATCATATACGTCATAGCGCTCGATTCTAAATTAATTTTTAACCCGTCTCAGTACAGCTTCGAAAACGTAATGTGAGCCGCGCCCGGCGCCAATCATCAGTTTGAAGAAGTTTGATTGATATTGCATGCCCTCTGTGAGAGCTGCTGCCACCAGCGCTCACCAATCACCGTTGGGGCATATGATATAAATTCTGTTTTCTGCCAAATTAGGCTAAGAAGTATAATAGTAAGGCGACATTTTGAGGAAGTTTTACAAGGAAAGTGCCTATTTCGCTTGACGCATCTCAAACGCAAGGAAATATTTTAAAGTTCTATTATAAATATAAATTTTGCCATCGATTCGCAATGATTCCGACCATTGCATTAGCGGTCTTGGACTACATCAAGTGATTGATTTAAATTTGTATTTAGATCAGTACCTTACAGTGGTAAATAAGATGCAGAGAGCGGGCTTCTCATTTCTGTGGAGCACTTTCTGAGCAACTGATTGATATTTCATGCCCCTGGATGAGAGCCGCTGCAGCTGGCAGTCATGCTCCTCATCGGGGCATGTGATATAAATTCTGTTCTCTGCCTTATTAGGCTAAGAAGTACAATAGAAAGTCAACATTGGGAGGAAGTTTAACAAGGAAAGTTTTTATTTCGCTTGACGCATCTGAAACGCAAGGAAATGTTTTAAGTTTTAGTATAAGTATACATTTTGCAACAAACTGTAAATTCTGTCCGACCATTGCATTTAAGGTCGTAGACTACTTCAGGTTATTGATTTAAATCATTATTTAAATCAGTACCTTACAGTAGTAGATCAGTTGCTGAGAGCGGGCTCCTCGTTTCTATGGAGCACTCTCTGAGCAACTGATTGATATTTCATGCCCCCGGGTGAGAGCCAGTGCTCCCCTTCGGGGCATGCAATATCAATTCTGCTTTCCTGCCAAATTTGGCTCGAAAGTGTGATAATAACTAATATTTTCATACGCAGATAATTAATGGGATCTCGGTAATACTAATAAAGTTGACTTTAAAATTGTAATATCAAATTGTAGTGAGAACTCACCAGAGGCAGAACGTCATTGTCAGCATGAAGGAAGTCAATCTCTCCGTAGGCGTTGGTTGGAAGTGTAACAGTGTCCACAGCTGGGTCCCAGTCTGCTGTGTGGATATGTCTGTAGCTCAGAGCCGCTTCCGAGTGCTCGTCGTCCAGGAAACCGCATTTGCAACTGATTTAGGTTTGGGTTAAGTTTTTGAGGATGAGAAAATTAGATTCATTTCACTTTTATGGTTCCCAAACTTCTAGTTTTGTGGAAAAACCCAAAAAGATTTTGGGTATTTCATTAATACTAGTAGTGACTATTGACTCACGTATTTTCTTCAGTGGCGGAATTAGAAACGAATTTGTTGCACTCTCTCCGGCAGAATGTGTCTGTTATGTAGTAACCATTCCTCCGTTCCTGAAACGAGGAGCTGTTAGAATTAGAAATATTACAAATATTACAAATATCTGACATACATTTTATATTATTTAAAAGTGGTCCACTAGCTGATTATTAGATTATAACCAGCTGGATTATGAAAGCTCGTAATACTGAGAGGTACAGTGAGATTAAATCAGGAAGAACCTGGGGAGGTGATGTAATTCTGACATGGCAATGTTTTATTGATTCTCTGATTGGCACACTGATTAGCTGTCAGAACACATTAAGTCATTAAAGTCACCCTGTGCTTATAGTTACCACCTTGCTCTATTGCCAACAACTTGAGCCAATAACGTTTAAAGCTTTAAGTTAAGATGTATTTATAGTAGTGATGATCCGTAATTCACACGTTTGAACTAATCCCCATTTTAGTAAAAATAATTCGTAAAATTGTGGATTTGATATTTCACGACAAATGAAGTTATCGAGTATCATCACCATGAGGTGCATTGTATTGTGAAACAGATTTTGAGATTTATTAAAATTAAATTACCTAAAATCTTAAGGAAACAACATGCCAAAAACTTACTACATTTTCTTTTTTTCTGCGTGACTTAGACTGACCCTTAAAAGAGGATCCAAAAGAAAGCCTATCAGGATTCAATGGCATATCACTAAAAATAAAAACTAGAATTCAACTACCAATGGCGTTATCGGTATCCAGTCTCGTCGAGGCGTTATTTATTTCGCGATAGCGCAATATTGATTTTCTTAAACTCAAACAATTTAGTCAATTATTTGTATATTCTAAACACAACATTATAAATTCCTTAAAATCTAAACTAGAAAATTCGCCAAACTCACGATATTTTTAGCTTTGAAGCTTGACTTAGTGAAACTGGAAGTAATGTTATAAGTGCCGAAAACAAGCGCATCGGACCCTCCTATCCTAAACGGCGTTTTGTTCCGCCTGGTCAAGGACATGTGACTTGTCTTTGTTTGCACGTGGTATTGCGCGCTTCCACAATGCTACACGGCACGAGGAAGTGCTCGCCGATATCAGCTGTAGAGTGTGTTTTTTAGATGGATTTTAGCCTAACTGACTTAAAATCATAAAGAAGTTGTGATAGGGTCAATTTGTTTTTGAAAAAACGTTTGTCGCCGAGGAAAATGAATTGCTAGGATACTTATACAATGCAAATTAAATAAACTATGGTTATACAAATTTGTGTAAAGGATCTAGTTTTGTTGTGAGAACAAAGATTACGGGTCCAAAAAAGATACAAATATAACACTTTGTAAACTGATACACTTAATGAGTTGAGAAGTAAAAAATACGAGCACAGCACAGCTGAGTGGAAACTGGAAGCCCTTTAAGTAACAGTTATTGCGAGCGAAATTCAGTAGAATGTAGATGACGCCATTGGTGTTTGAAGTTAAACGAAAAAAGAATACACAGTACATAATGTACCTATCGCAGACCTAAAGGGAAAGTAGATCCAACTAAGAAAACTGAACGAAAATGAAATTATACATTACGGGGTGTAAATTAGGCAAATTTAATCAGAGACATATCAGAACAGTGTCATGAGCCAGGGACAATCTATCAGATTACAAAATCAGAGGGTATATCTTAGACCATACACACCCAATCAGCAGTCAGCTCCCCCCCCCCCCCCCCCCCCCCCCCCTTCTCAGTTTCAAACACCTGTTATATTGTTATACACTAGTTGGAGATACGAAACAAGTAATGAAGTACAATGTGATATAGCTAATTGTAGGGACCAACAATAGATATAGAGGTGTGAAGGTATGGTTTCTAGAGTCCCTAGTGTTAACTGTTAACACTTTATAGATAGACAAACGGATCTCCAGTCTGACTCAATGTTACCCCCTCGGCCCTCTCTCCCCTCAGACAGACGTGGGGATAAAATTTGGGTTGAGAAATCGACAGATCTATATGGAGAACCGAGGTATGTCAATGGCTATCATGGATATTCACTATTCGGTATGTATCCTCATTTCTTATTACGGCTTCTAATGCTAGGTTATAAATAAATTTAAAACTCCTTTGTCAAATAAGTATTCACAGGATACGTATAAGAAAGCCCGCTATGTAAGTATACATACAGTAAAACCCCGATTTACCGCGGACTTTGGGGAAAGCAAAAACCCGCGCTAAATTGGGGTTTGCGGTAAATCAAGGTTTAACTGTATCCCTTTGGAACAAGCAGGGATCAAACTTAAGAAACGAGCAACAAAGGTACAATTAAACAATGTGATCACAGACCTCTGAAACTACACAGTTTCTGTTTCAGTGTTTTTGCCTGTGTTCCGTGTTGAAATTATAACCAATTAACGAATTCCATCGAATCTCCACTCTCTTCTTAATTAGGTAAATAGAGCCTTAAAGAGTTATAACGAGTTCCATTAGGAGGCCGATTCGGAAAGATTGGTGTAAATGGAAACATGATTGAAAACACAAAAACACTATTTTGAAGTCCAGTTTTGTTGATGATATGGAATAAGCATTTAAAGTATCAACTGTGCAAGCTAACTAGATCTAGATCTTAGATATTCTTGCACATGAAAACGTATAATTCTACACCACAAACTTCAAGTACTTCCAAGGTAAACTGGTTAAAGAGCAAAAAATAAAGTAGTGGCAAACTACTATATAATGTGCATTATAATATATCATACAAGCGACATATTGTATAAGGTGTTGTTGAGTATTCAAACAACAACTTGAGGCACTTCTTCTTCGTTGATATTTGCTCCACTTTTTAACATACCTCAACTCCTGTTATTGTTTTACAAAATTGTTTTGTGTCGATTTTTGCTTGTGCCTGCCCTCTAAATATTTCTTAAAAGGAGGGTCCTAACTTTAAAGCAAATTATTTTATACAATGAGCAGACTTGTGTCTATTGTGAAGTCTGGCGGAATTCGCTTGAGAACTGGCTGACTTTGTTAGAGAACTGGCTGACTTTTCGGCATTCTTTGTAGATTAAGACTTGCAATACCGAAAAGTAAGATTTTTTCTGGTTAAGAGACGCTTGGTGCTGAAGTTATATATAACTGATATATATTTTCTGATTTACCAAAACTTTTGCTATATATAGCAAACGTTTTGGTAAATCAGAAAAACATTTCTTTTAAATGATCAACCCCAGCCTCCTAAGTCACCAAGACTTAACTTTTCAAATGTACTCTAAAATGTTCAATGAAGTGAGTTCACGGGAGACCCTGTCAATCTCTGAAAGACGCCGTAAGTTACCCGTAAGTTACCCGTAAGTTACCCGTAAGTTTGACCCTATTTTATTTAAGAGATGCAGGAGTGATACTTCAAAGAACGAAACGAAACACAGTATTTACTACCCCGCTACTATGCGGCAAAGATATATTTGGTTTACATGAGTCGACCTACAAACATATCCTGCTACATTTCTATAGTATAGTGAAGCTTCTTTTATTTTAGCATGTTTGTGAAATTATAACTGGAATCCTAAGAAAGCTATTGGAATGACCTCGAAGGACCACAACTATGCTGGTTTTATTGTACAATATGTTCAATACAAAACCAGAAACTTATGACAAACTTCAGACAAAACTGCTGACCGACGATAAGTTATGGTTTCTATGGGCATCAACGATACGTTAATTAACATGACTAAAAGGTGTTAATATTCAAACTTTTGATACGTTAAACGACATATCGAATTTCCTAATCACCCAAAACATTTTACCGAGACCACTGTTAGCTAATGTATCCTTAGGGGTCGTCCACATATTACGTAATCAATGTTTTGGTAATTTTAATACCTCTTCCTCCTCCTCCATAATCAACCGAAATAAAACAATCATTTAAACCCCCACCCCCCCCCCCCTCCCCATATCCCCTCGGCTGATTACTAACTGCTCCTAATTGTGACACTTTTGATTAAGTATTCCCAAGACCACCCATTGCTTCTACATCATGATAGTAACTCATTGACGAACTCTCAGGCCAGAATATAATAACGTGACCAGATGTTTAGTGGGCGGCTAATTAGGCGGCTAATTAGCAGTTTAAAGAGAGTAGTCAGACAAATACAATAGTTAATTTTAAAAGCTAGATGTCACTTGTAAAACTAAATAAGACTTTGAGTCAGACCATAGAAAGGTTCCTCGCGTAAGTGCTAATAAATCTATTGTCAACCATCTGCTTAATATGACATTTTCAAGTTCAGCTGAACTATTGCACAGGTCTAAGCGGTAGAGACCTTTACTGTTGTTTTTGACAATTCGTAGAGGATGTTTTTTCTAAACTATGACAAATTTCATGCTTTAATCAATTCGGGAGGACATTTTCTTGGTGACAATTGTAATTTTATTCAAGAAGGCATTATGTTTTCTAAAACAATTTTGTCCGACTGTTCAGGATATGAATCTGAAGGTTTTGCTACTTTATCTCTGTGTGGTAGTCTACAAGACAGCTGGAGATTGTCCTGCAAGAACCGGTTGGGACAACGAAGTTAGAATTGCAAAGTTGGAATCACTTGTAAACCGACTGAATGGTCAAGTGGCTGACTTAACTGCCAACCAAGTCGAGCTGGAAGCAGGACTCGAGACAGCTGAAGAAATGGTAAAATGTACCATGCAGCAAGTCCTGGACAGCAAGCCTTGGACCCTAAAACGGACTCAGATAATCTTCCCGAATTTAGAGAAACTGGCCCTAGAGGGAGCAACTCCTACTTATGTTGAGACCCTCCCAGTTCCCCTACCCAACAATACCCGAGCACTGATAGTTCAAGTTTACTGTTTATTTAACAACAAAGCCGGTCACGCCTACCTTTATGGAGAAATCCAACAGGAGGGAAACGAAGAGGGGGGTGTGACGAAAATTGAAAACAAGCATTATCAAGTTTACGCAAACTCTTTCTACAACGAAGTCATGGTCCCTTGGGATAGCTCCATCTCCAACAAGATGCAGTTAAAAGTGACTATCAGTACACAGTCAGGCGGACCAGACAACTGGTACAGAGTTAGAGTTGTA